ATGCGCGCCATTCAAACACATTAGAATTCGGAAATTTGGATGCATCCGATTGGCTGAATTTAAAGAAAGTTGTTTGTATAGCCATTCGGAACAAAACAAAATGTACATGTCTGATATAAATATGTGCAAATGATAAAAATTTGTTTTGGACGAAATGAACAAAAACGAAAAAAAAAAAATGTTATGCTATTTCGGATTCGGAGGCAACGAACCTTGGAATCCGAAACCTCCGGATCCAAAACCGCACATGTAAAGATAAGAACGCTTGCACACCGTCATCCTGGAGGCGTCCCACGCCTGTTGTGGGGCACCACTATCTTGGTGTAGATCTTGGTGTAGATCTTGGTATATACCTAGATGGCGGCGTTCATACCGGCACGTGATGTCACCCAACACCGCGCATTCGCGGTGTCTTGTGACATCATGTGCCCCTCCTCGGAGATGTCGGCAGAACGCGCCAGTGGCCAATATGGCTGCTGAGCGTTCTGTTAATGAATTACTATGTGCCTGAATATGTTTTTCGTATATATGTGCCATATAATAATTCGTTCACTCAGAATCGGACGAACCGGCAAATCAACGGAACTTCGTTCCGAATGCACACGTCTAAAAAATATATGTACAGCGCTAAAAGAACTCCAAAAAATAATACATAAATACTGTGTACTAAACCTCAGCTGCAACTTAAATATCTCAATAAGATATTAACAATAGGAAATATTTCCTTTACATTATGTTGCTGATATGATCAGTATGTATATGAACAATATCAGTATATAATTACATAATATAATCAGCATAGCACATGATCAGTATGTATATGAACAATATCAGTATATAACAATATAATATAATCAGCATAGCACATGATCAGTATGAAATAATTAATTTTTCACATGCAAGGAAAATACAATTTATCAGACGCATTTAATTTACATTAACAGGCACTTTTATTGGTAATTTGCATAATTCTTAATGGAAAGTGACTATTAGGGGTCTGTTTATAACCAATTCGCAGAGCCATTAGCCTTACAAATCTTTATTTTATTCAAACAGATGGAAAAATTATGGTTCTTAGATTTACTATATATTTTTTTCCAGGTTGAATGTAGGTAATGTAATACCGCATTATGGCCACTAGATGGAAATGAGGAGCATAGGTAATAAATACTTATTATCTATACTCATCACCTCCATCTAGTGGCCATAATACAGTATTACATTACATACATTCAACCTGAAAAAAAAATATGTATATATATACTGTAGAATGTTCATTTTTGTGCCTATTTGCACAGAAAGACTCTTGTGGCCTGAGAAGAATATAGATCTAAGAAGGAATTGGATATACATAGACCCCCTCAGTGTCTATGGGGAATTGTACCATGTGTGGGAATTGACCAGGAAAAAAAAAAATTGGCACCCAGAAACAGTATTTGATAGCTGGAAATGTGCCATGAATAATTGACAGATGATAAGAAATTCTGAAGAACTTATTATAGCTCACCTCTTATAAGGTCCTCATTGTGTATCTGGAGTAATGTTTGCAGAGCTGTGAGTCAGCATAGTAGATGATCCCAAGGACTGGTGAATAAAACAAATATTTCCTTCATAAAATCCCGAAAATTATGAAATCGTGTTTTATGATGGATGTAAAGTTGTGCGGAAATTCATTTTATTAAAGAGAACTATGGGGAAAACTTTTTTCGTCATAGTTCTCTTTAGGGTCACAGGAGGACATTTTCTATTGTCCTCCTGTGACCCAAAACACAGTATATAGCGGACTATAGCCTGCCATATGCTGACAGTGCAGAGCCATGCTGCAGCCAGGACGGATCCTGACAATATTTTCGGGATCCTCCCCGCCACCTGATTGACAGCTGACTCTGCCTCTCTAGAGCCAGAGCCAGCTGTGCCTGCCCCTTTCCATGTTCGTCCCTCCATTCAGCGCTGGAGGATCGGAGAGGGGAGGAGGTAATCCCTGCAGGGAGCTGAGACTGACACTCTCTGCAGGGAGATGATGGGCAACTGAGTGATCAGCTGTATGTGATTGCTCACTTCCCGATCAATAGAGCCGACGTGTGACAGCTGCCGTGCCATGCCAGCTTTAATTATGGGGATGAGTGTCATTCACTTTCCCCATAATTCTCCTTTAAATTAAATCACTGATATTATCAACACCGGTCAATAGTTTGCCTGCTAACTAGAAGGGGCATGCTGGCTGGAACCTGTAGTACCTCTGCTGAAAGAGCAGTGATGTTGCTCCTGTAAAATATAACTTATATCTGGAGAGCGGTGATGTCACTCCTGTATAATATATCTTATATCTGGAGAGTGGTGATGTCACTCCAGTGGCGTCACAAGGGGGGTGCGGCCCGCACCCGGGTGACACCATTAGAGGGGTGACACCAAAATGATTCACAGTCATTTTGGTGTCACCCCCCTCTGAAAAGTCGGGCGCTCGGTCATGGACCGAACGCCCGACAGTATCAGGAGAGAGGAGGGGACCCGGCGGCATACCTTATCCCGCCGGGTGACTGTCCCCTCCTCTCTCTGCTGGCGTCCATCACCAAGATGGCCACCGGCAGGTATCAGAATACTGCCGCACGTGCGCGATGACGTCATCGCGTGCGCGCGTGGTGACGTCAAGCGCGTGCGCGGTGACGTCTCGGTGGGGTGACACTCCGTTACCACTCCGGGTGTCACCCAGCCTCGGGACGCCCCTGTGTCACTCCCGTATAATATATTCTAACTTCCCCACCTCTGTGTCTTTGGTCCCCTTTCTCTTAAGGTGCCCATACACTGGCCGAATTTCGACTGGTTTTTAACCACCTCCCGGCCGGCCGTTGTAACAGAACAGCGGGCCAGGAGCTTTCTGGATGTAACAGGCCTGTTAGCCCCGCCCACACCCACGCGGCTCGCACGAGCAGGAAGCAGCCTGGATTTAAAAACTGGCAGCGATGCCTGTGTACATCAATCGCTTGTATAACGTGCCGGTGTGCAACCCCCTTCCGCAACCCCCTCCACTGGTCCCGAGCTCCACTGTGCCCGGTGCGAGCCTGGGACCAGCATGGTGGCTCTGTGACAGGGGATCACAGGGAGCTCGGTACATGATCTCACTCCGGTCCGCTCTCCGCTGTCAGAATGCGTATGTAATGTATATTATATCACTTCCACATTCTTGTGTCACTCTCCAGCTTCAGAAGCTGGAGAGAAGCTGATGAAGCAGATCTCTGCTTCATCAGCTTCTTCAGGGGGGTCCTAGTAGAGATTAGGGGTCATCCTCTTTGCTATCACAAAGGGGGGTTTCTTAGCCCAATTTTGGGTATGGTAATATTTTGCGATTTCGTGGGTGCGCGCAATTTTAAGGCTTGACATGTTTGGTGTCTATTTACCCGACGTGACCCCGTCTTTTATATTTTACCAAAAAATTGGGTAATAAAAATTATATTATAATGTAAAAAATTGTTTTCAAAATTTTCAGTTATTTTTCCTTAATATAGTAAAAAATAAAAATCCCAGTGGTGATTAAATACCACTAAAGAAAGCTCTATGTGTCCCCAAAAAATTGTATAAAACTAATTTCAGTGCATCGTTGCATGACGGAATAAATGTCAAAAGTCAAAGTACTGCAGCATGAATACTAGACATGTGCGATTTGTTCCGTTCCCAATCGAAAATCGGACGAAATTTCGGAAATTCAGAGATTCGGATGTATCCGAGTTCCGAATTACAGATATAACGAATGCAAACGAATCTGAATTTCCGAGTACGAAATTGGTTAGCAGTAATCTGTACGAAATTTCGTTTGTTGGAAGAAATTTCGCTGCAGCAAAGTGACATTTGAGAGAAAAAAATTATCTTAAATGTCACTTTGCTGCAACGAACGAACAAAACGAAAATGAAACTATAATGCCGTACAGACAACCGCGTCCGAATCTGAATCCCGAAAAACGAAATAACGCAAAATCCGAATCAAAACAAAATCATTTTTTTGCTAATGCACATGTCTGGTGAATATTGAAAAATGGCCTGGCCAGGAAGGGGGTGTAAACACCTGGTCAGTAAGTGGTTAATGTACCGGCCGACAGTGTGTGGGGCTTTCGGCATTCCTCGGTCAGCTGAAGGAAGGAGTCGGCTGGAAAATCTCTGTGCGATCAGTGCCGGCAGCCAATGAGCACAATGAGCGGCACCTGTCAGAATACAATGTACACAGCGGCAATTCCTCGATGGACGCGCTGTTTGTGTTGTTGGAGGAATCGCGTCAATTTCTTCCCTTCAGCCCAAAAGAAATTGACAGGTGTATTGCCAGCTTTAGACTGTAAGCTCTTTGGGCCGGGTCCTCCTCACCTACTGTTTCTGTATGTCAATGATGCTTCTCAGTGTTTCTTACTTGTCTTGTCTATGCGATTGTACAGCGCTGTGGAATATGTTGGCGCCATATAAAAGATTGCAATATGGTCTCCAGTCATGTGATGACTGTAAATTGAACCGACGTTGGTTATTATATCACATCGGTTGGTCGTGCTGCGGTCACAGTGACACAGCTAATTCGACAATCATCATTATCTGGTTCATTGTAACCCCCGCGTGTCTATTATTGCGATCCGGACTGACGAGTGAATTGCTTTCTGTCCTCGTTATCAGGACGATAAGCGGGATTGTCGGCGCTCAGATATACGGGGCCACTTGTCACATTTCAGGGATAGACGGATCTTGTGGGGTCAGCGGGTTTCTGTTTCTGGAATTGTTACATAAGAGTCCCCCGAGCCGTCATGTGTCACGTTTATAACAGGTCCGATATGATTGTAAATGTTTCAATCAATAGTAATTAACTGGCCATAAAAGATCATAAAACTCTCTGATAAGTCGTGTTTGTAATCAAAAAAATTGGCCGCAGCCCAGAGACTTTCAGTATATTAACCCCGAGCGCCGTCCTCAAGTGCTGTTGCATCTCAGTGGAGCATCTGACAAGCAGCCCTCGTCTGCGATCCTCCACCATGTCCACCGACAGCGACCTCATCCACTTCTTCAACGGAATCCCCTTCACCACGCGCTCTTCCGCCGAGCTCCTGAAATCTCTGGACGCGTTCCAGGCCCGCGAGGATGACATCCTTCTCGTCTCCTATCCCAAATCCGGTACTCCACTCTGTTCTCTGTTAATTACTTACTACAAATATTTTGTATGATTTTAGAAATATTTGGAAACATTTCTGCATAATGCTCCTGATGTTGTGGCGACCGGCGCCGTCTGTTGCCTGAAACGTGACAGGAACCAAAGTTATGAATGAGATGGTAAAAAAACAAACAAAAAAAAAAAACAATCTTTTTTTTATACAAGTGTTTCTTTTTATATATTTACATAGATGTGTTTTTTTAAGTTAAAGAAAAACCACATGCAAAACTTTTCTTCTTTTAGATGAAATGGGGAGGGATGAAGCACGATCAAGTCCTCTAATTTTCTGTCCTGGTGACACCATGAGCATTGCTGTGAGATGGACTTCCTGTTTGGATGGACATCCTTTTAGGATGCGTTGTTTATATATTCTTTATTAGATTCCCCATTAGAGTTGCCACCTGTCCGGGCTTCACTCAGACAGTCATGGTTTTAGGCCAGCTGACACACGGACACAAGATGTCAGGAGGAAAGGAGCAACCACGGGGTTCTGGTGTACCTGCTCACTTGCAGCAACTCTTCCTGCAAAGTAAAGGTGTAGACCTCTGTTGTGACTGGGCTCTGATAGGTCGTACATTTCCAATTTCTCTCTCTCTCTCTCTCTCTCTCACACACTAGATGTCACTCCTCGCTGTCTTCTCCCTCTCCTCTGGCTGTCTTTTCTTGCTCTCCTCTCTCTCCTGGCTGTCTCCCCTCGCTCTGTCTCCTCACGCTCTCTTTCCTGGTTGTCTCTCCTCTTTCTCTCCCGGCTGTTTCTCCTCTCTCTCAGCTGTCTCTTCTCTCTCTCCCTGACTTTTTCTCCCCTCTCTCCAAGCTGTCTCTCATCTCCATCTCCTGGCTGTCTCTCCTCTCTTTGACCTGGCTGTCTCTCCTTGCTTTCTCTCTTGGCTGTCGCTCCTCTCTCTCCCTGCTGTCTCTCCTATCTCTCTCTCCCAGCTGTCTCTTCTCTCTCTCTGACTCTCCCAGCTGTCTCTTCTCTCTCTCTCACTCTCCCAGCTGTCTCTTATCTCTCTCTCCTCTCTCTCTCCCAGCTGTCTCTCCTCTCTCTCTGACTCTCCCAGCTGTCTCTTCTCTCTCTCTCACTCTCCCAGCTGTCTCTTATCTCTCTCTCCTCTCTCTCTCCCAGCTGTCTCTCCTCTCTCTCTCTCCCTGGCTGTCTCTCCTTAAGCTGCCTACACACCTTACAATTTATCTGCAGACTTTCTGTGGTCAGATGGAAAAGGTGCAACAGATTCCTCCATCTACACTTAACTGTGTGGATGGAGTAATCTCCACCTGGGCCAATCTGTTGCACTTTTTCCATCTGACCACAGAAAATCGGCAGATAATTGTAAGGTGTGTAGGCACCTTTACTCTCTCTGCTGGCTGTCTTCACTTTTTCTCCGGGCCGTCTCCCCTCTCCATCCCTGGCTGTTTCTCTTGCTCTCTCTCCTGGCTGTCTCTCCTCTCTTCCCGGCTGTTTCTCCTCACTCTCTCCTGGCTATCTCTCCTCACTCTCCTGGCTGTCTCTCCTCTCGCTGTTTCTCTTTTCTCCCCGATGTCTCTCCGCACTCTCTCCTGGTTTCACTTAAAGAAAAGGTGGCAACCCTATTTGCCATTAACGGAATATTTATATGCAGGGAAGGGACACTGGGGGTTATCAAAGGGTTTGCTCACAGCAAAGGTTGTCATCGTGACAGGAAGTAAGAGTAGTTCTTGCCGCAAGATTTCAACAAATTGTAACATTTCCCTACTCCATGTAAATCTCAAAAAGTTTAAATGCCAACCAATCACCAGTTGAAGGAGTTTGCATGGAAGACTGACAACACTGCTGCTAAATGCAATGCAACGGCTTGGTGTTGTCAGCCTGCCACAGGATGTGCTATTACAGGATACATTTTCAGATAAGAAGTGTTGCAGCCAATCCACAAACAATGGTTTCCCTAATGTAGAACTATGGCTTCTCATTACAGTTTTCTCTTAGTTCCATAAATACCTCTTAGTCCTGCAAGTAATGTTCAGTGAATGCAGCTTCCTGGTATGGGGTGACAACAATGCTGCACTGATCCTGAGATCAGAGCAGAGTTGTCACTCTCATGAAGGTTGTGCTGCCTATACTACAGTGGCAGGAGGTACTACAGGCACTGCTGATTCACAGGCCTGAAGCTTGTCAATCATCACCGTGCCACATCATGTGACTTTAATATCAATTTAATACATAGTGGATCAAACTTATTGTTAACCCTTGGTCACCCAGGCACTCACTGGCTTGCTGAGATCATGAAGCACCTCTACACTGCCAAGGTCACCCTCACCTCGCCCATCGAATTCGGAGATGTCTCAAAACTGGAAGAGATGGACAACATCGGAACCAAGAGGATCATCCCGACACACCTCGGCTACGACATGCTCCCCGGAGACTTCAAGGCCAAGAAGTGCAAGGTGAAACATGGAGGGCAGGACATATGTAGATGTATGGAGATGCGGCTCCACTGCAGTGAAAGGGTTAACACCTAGCTGTATATATTGAGGCAACGATGTATCATCCTATATCCCCTTTGTGATTGGTCGTTATAAAACAAAGGGGAGATAGGATGATACATGTTGATGGGAGAGGGATTGAACCAGGGAAGGAAACATATAAGCAGATGTAGCCCCATTCCAAGGGTTAATAATATTTTCCCCCAAAGTTCTTCTTTAAGCCTTAAAAAAAGGCACCTGAGTGTATAAAGTAGAACAATGGCTACATTTTTATTTTTCATTTTGAGAAGAGGATGGACGGGTCTGATCCCTGTCCTGGGATTTTATTGCTTTATTGAAGAAAAGGGGCTTTTTTATGTTGCTCTTTGTAAGGCGGCAGCCAAGTGCACAATAAGTGGTGACACGCTCCATGGGGGTAATGCCTCAAGGTTTGTAGAAAAAAAAAAGGCTCAAAGTATAGAAACAAATGTACCAAAGTATGGCTGACGGTCCAGATTAAATGTGCTTGTCACAGCCACCAACGCGTTTCGGTGGGTTCCATTGGGTGCTCCCCATCAGGGTTTAATGATGCTGGACTGCTAATAAAGGTCTGGGCAATAATGTGGGGAATAAAAATATAAATAACAGTACAAGATCTGCTTTTGTTGTCAGGGTTTTATTGGCGTTTGGGCCCTGGGGAGATTCCCCTTTAATACCTGTCCTGGTAATACACTCAATGCATTTTGTTACCATTATATCCAAAAAAGAAAAAAGTTTGAGCTGGAGCTCCCCTTTAACCCTTGAGTTAATAAGCGCTGGAGGCCATATGGCTGAGCAGCTGACAGTGTCTTCATTTTCTAAATTTAGTAATAATTCTGCTATTTAATGCAGATATCATATAGATGAAACATGGGACAGTGTATGGTATATAGAGGGATGTAGGTGGCATATTGCCCCCTGGCGGCCATGTGTGGTAATGTTTCATTTCTCTATTATAATTATTATTATTATTATTATTATTAGGGATGCACCGATACTAGTATCAGTATCTGTACCAATGCCGAGTATTTGGGCGAGTACTCGTACTCGCCCTAAAATGGTGACGAGGGAGCATGGAGCCGGGTTACCGGCCAATCAGGAAGCTGTATTTCTATTAAATTGTAATAGTAATACAGATAACACAGACACATAAAACATAATGGGGGGAATTTATCAAAACTTAAGACAAAATCTGGAGCAGTTGGCAACCAATCAGCTTCTCTCTTCAGTTTGCTCAGGTAAGATTTGAAAATGAAAAGAGAGGAGCTGATTGGCTGCAGTGCAAATATGCCCCACATTTTGTCTGCTCCGGTTTTGATAAATTCCCCCAAAATGAGTGACGAATATGTGCAGTTATACTGCGAGACATCGACATACAGAAGAAGATGCTTGCGGAGTCCATAGAAGCTTACAATCTAATCTGGTGATACCAAAGATATCCATCTTCATAAGATGTTTAGCATTGGCTGACACAATAAAGACAATTGAACAGTTCCTAATACTTTAAATTGAGATTTTCTACACTTGATGTATCTTTCGTACTAGCTTCTGTTGAAGACTTGACACATTTCTCCAGGGAATTATGTGCCAGAAGCCACTGACGCATTTCAGAATTTCATTGACGGTTCTATTGGCTGTTGTATCTGTGATATGTTACGTGTAATCTCAGGAATAATAAATTTCTACACATTGAAGATTGATTAGGGCATATGTTGATGTTATGTGATTGTCACCGATAATAAGACTGTAATGTCACCATTTCAGGCCATCTACATCATCCGGAACCCCAAAGACACGGCCGTCTCCTTATTCCATTACTACAAAGACAACCCCAACCTGCCCACCATCGGCATGTGGAGCACGTATTTCGATATGTTTCTACAGGGACAAGGTGAGCCATAACGACTGTTTCTGTTGATGCTGAAGATTTGCGTCCCATGTGTATTGTGTGGGTTATAATTAGATTATATTGGGAAATTTTGCCTTCCAGTAGATCTGAAGCCAGAAATGTTTTCTCATTTTGAATAGAACATGGAAGAGTTAGAACCCTTTTGAGGTTTATATTTGGTAACCGTGCTCCATTGGGAGACTTCCTGTCCTGGAGTGAACATGGCTTCACCTGATTCATTAAGCTACATTGGGGGCGGCCATGGGCACGGTAGCAGTCCCCCGTCACCAGCATTAGAGAACAGAGCTAATATCAGGGGTTCCATGACCTTAAGGAGAATCTCCACCATCAGCACCCCCAGAGTCACCATCAAGGGAATGAAGTACAGCCAATACACCGTAGTATTATAGATCAGTACAATAAAACAAACCTGCAGTCTGCCTGATCTTTCCTTCCCCGTGTAACCGATCTTCCTGTGTGTGTCGCAGTTGTGTGCGGATCCTGGTTTGACCACATCCTGAGCTGGGAGGAGCACCGTAACGAGATGGGGACTCTATTCCTCTACTATGAATCCATGAAAAAGGTTTGTGCCGTTATCTAAAGATTGATTGATAAGTTCCTTCGATTATCAGTATTCTATGACATATTCTTTCTGTGTGATTGGCCTGATTGGACGATTATTCAAATTGAAATTAAACACTGCGACAAATTCCAGATTGTTACCGTAACATTTACCTGGAAGCGACATGTGATGGGACATTCGCAGCTTTGCTTTCCTGCTGCTCCATATTTCCACACATGTTATATTCCCATATAGAACTGCTACTATGATATACATTGTGTCAATAAGATATACAATGACTGCGAGTAGCCAATCAGAAACCAGCACTCCCGCCATGATGAAAATATGATGTAAATGCTTGCGTCTGTGTTAACGCATTTTGCCACTCCTCTCAGAATCCCTTTAAATCGGTGAGGAAGATCAGCTCATATCTGGGGATAAACATGAATGACAACGAAATCCACGAAATCTGCAAGAAAACGTCATTTTCGGAGATGAAGGACAACGTGGAGAAAGAAGTCAGCGACCCGAATCACACCGTGTGCTCCCTGACCTCCAACCGTAGACTGATCTTCCGAAAAGGTGGGAGACCCCAAATCCTGTGCAGGCAATAGAACCTCAAGCTGAACCCCATCCCCCCTTATCCCCCAGAGGGGACATCGGCCCCTTCCTGATAGGTTCAGGCTTTTGTGTTCTTCAGTTGGATACAGATAGGTTCAATTAAGAAAACGTTACAACCAGGATAAGGAGCGGTATCTTCAGTCATGAAAATTACTGTGTTCATAAAATTCTATTGGTCTATGGCCAGCTTTAGATACAGGAACCGAGCTCACTGACCTGGGGTGGGGCAGTTTTGGGAATCTCAGGATGGAACCATTTTACTTTTGAAAGGCTCCAAGAGTCTTCCTCTAGACCAGTGGTTCTCAACCTGTGTAACCTCAGGACCCACATTTGTCCTCGGTCATTAAAGGGGTTCTAAACCCTCCGGTTTTTTTGCTTATATCTACTGCTAGCAAGCAGTAGATATAGGCAAGAAGTGTAAAAAAAAAAAAAACCCGCTTAAAATCATTTTAAACTTACCTCGTTATCGCCGCTCGTCCCGGAGCCGAGAATCAGGAACTGCTCGTACGGCCGCAAAGGATCTTGGGGCGGGCGCATGCGCAGTTCCGATTCTCGGCCGAGAGACGAGCAGAGACGCAAGGTAAGTCTATGGACGCGTGCACCCGCCTTCAGACACCGCTGGATCGGAGAGACAGAGCAGTCAGCGCTGGGTCGGAGTGACGTCACACAGCTGGAGGGACACATGAAAACATGGGGAAAGAAGAGGAAGATCGGATTAAGAGACATCATTTAAGGTAAGTGCTAACATTTACATTGGGGGAGGGAAATTTTTTTTGACTTTAATGCCACTTTAAGTCACGACAAACAAGTCGCGCTGCAATGGAAAGCATGGCACTGTGGTACTGCGCATTCCGGTGCGGGCGATTGAACTGTGGGTGGGAGGTGCGTTTGCGGTGCCATTCAAATGAATGGCAACCCAATGTTCCTCCCACACCAGAACGCGTAGTAGATGCGATTGCACAGTACAGTGCGATAATCGCAGGGGACTTTTCGATGAACGCACTGTACTAGTGTGAACAGGCCCTCAAAAACACTGACAGATGCACAACCACAGACACAACAAATAAATGTTTTTATTTGTTTTTAAGATCCACCCAGTCTCCCTACCTTCCGAGAACTGGAGTGGATCCTCAGCCTGGGGTCCAGTGTGGGCTGTTGTGCTGTGACGGAGCTCCATCCATACGTGTATTGGTTGTACAGCTCCCTTGTGCGCCCTGTAAAGGTGCTGGGAGCCAGAATGCGACGTCACTCCGGTCCAGGCTCCTCTACTGGACATGCGAGGGAGCTGTAAGCAATGCATGTGCGGATGAGCTCCCTCGAGGCCATAGCTCCAGCCCACCCCACCGCAAACTTACACTCGGCGCCGGTCAGCATATTTTAAATGGCTGTTTGGTGCGAGAACTGACAGTGCTGCGCTATGGGGGAGGCTTAGGAGCCTCTCACCTAGAAAAGTGTAAGGCATGTGGGGACCCACTGAACACAGGGTCGCGACCCACTTTTGGGTTATGAGCCACCAGTTGAGAACCAAGGCTGCAGACCAAATCTGCAACCATTGTTAGAGGAGACTGAGGAAATGCTTCCTCCTGCCTGCAGCAGACTGATCACTGGGGGAGAGGAGACTGAGGAAATGCTTCCTCCTGCCTGCAGCAGACTGATGACATCATCTCGGCCTAGGCAAAGGCACTGATTTGAGCTCAAGGATGGCTTTTTAATGTTAAATGGTGGAGATTTCTGAAAAATGATACAGTTGCCGTATATTGTGACATGACAGGATATTCATTCATGCACACTTGTAAAGTTACCAACAGGTCCACTTTAACTATGTAATGATGTTACGCAGGCACTGTTTGTTCAGAGATCACTGTCAATGTATAGGGATAGTCATGTACACCAGGGGTGCGCAAACTTCGGCTCTCCAGCTGTGGTGAAACTACAAATCACATGATGCACAACAGCTGGAGGGCTGGAGTTTGCCCACCCAAAGTGGGTGAGAGCAATGCAAATCATGGTGGGACAATCTCACCTCTTGAGTCCCCAAAACAGTTGGTCCTATCCACCTGGACCTGAAATATCATCTTTTTGTTACTTTGTGTAATCAGAGATTTCTCTCCTGTCACAGGCACTGTCGGGGAATGGAAGCAGTATTTCTCCACCAAGCAGAACAGGCTGTTCGACGAGCTCTACAACACCAAAATGAATGCCAGCTGCCTGGCCAAGAATATCCACTATGAGAACTGAGTGCACCGCTCAACAATCAGACTCTATTGTTACCAAGAGACTTCTTCTCACCGGGCAGACTGGCACAGGAAAGGTCAAAGACAAGGCAAACGCTCAGACAGTTCTTAAAGGATGCATCCACCTTGTGGTGGGACTTTACCCTGACTCCTCGATATCCTACCAATCTGAGAACTGGCACATTTACTGCATTGTCCACTGAATCCACAGGGCGGCGCTGTGTGTCTGCCCTGGGGCTGAGTCATCAATGCCCCTAGGTTAGGGGCCAATGATAATATTCAATGCTCTGTCTGAAAATTTCTATCATTTACCTTCTGAAGAATTACCTCAGGTCCTGTAAAGTGACGTCCACCACCTGTATAAGTTTGGGGTGTTATAATCACCCTACAAGCAATCACTAGGACAAACTCCAGCCCAGGTCACATGATCTCTGCTGGAGGGGCTCAAACAGTCAAGAAGAGCAAGCCAATCAGCAGTTCTGCTTAAACAGCTCTTCCCCCCTTCCACGGTGACCACATGACCAATGCAGAGGCATCCATCATATGACCATCCCCAGAGGAAAGAAGAGCTTCCAGGAACTGTCCCTATAAACTTGGGAGTTAAAATCACCCTCTGAGCAATCGCAGAGACATCATACACCCGTCACATGTCCTTGAGCGTAGGTCACATGAGCTCTGCTGGAAGGCCTCAGACGGTCAGGAACATCAGGCCCATTAGCAGCTCTGCTTCCAAAGCGACCACATGATCAATGCTGTAGCCTCCATCACGTGACCACCTCCAGAGGAAAGAAGAAATTCCAGGACTCAATAATATAATATATGACTTTTCTAACATTTAATAATGCCTTAGGGTAGGGGTAGGCAAATTCTGGCCCTCCAGCCTTTGTGGAACTACAAATCACATGAGGCATTGCAAGATTCTCACAGCCACAAGCAGGACTCCCAGAGACAGATGCATTATGGGATTTGTAGTTTCACCACAGCTGGAGGGCCAGTTTGCCCACACCTTTTAAAAGCTTAGAAATACATGCCCGGTGGAGGACACCTAAGTGTGTTTTAAGACATCTCTAATGCAGCATTAAGTATGAAAATAGACTCAGCTGTGTCTCCCTCCCCCCCCCGCTATTTTGATGTTTAAAGTCTATGCAAACACCAACGAATCTCTCTTATTTGGTAAATATACAATTGAAAATACATGTTGATCCTGCGATCTTGTGAGGTGAAAACTTCCTGTGTTCTATACCTTGTGCTGCACTCTTATTAGATACCCAGGTATCTCTGTGAATTACACAACACCTGCACCCTATAAGGACCGGGATAGAGGGAGGTGTTCTGTAGCCCTGCCCCATAGTGACATTGCTGCTCATTCAAAGAGTACGGTGAGCGAGTGTTGTCATCCTAGGACAGGAAGTGTGCAACTGGCAGGATCACCAGGTGAAAACAAAGGCCAGAGCTTGAGCTGCATTTGTAGAAACTTGTAAATAGGAAAGATTTGATTACCTGAGTGACATTCCCGGGGCTGCAGAACATGGAGAGCTCCCATTGTGTCATCTGCCAGTGTATAGAAACATCTGCAGATTGATAACAAAAATGGAGGCCTGACGGTAGAAACTCGCTTCTGCATTCCCTGTTGTGTAGTTTTGTATTTTCCGTGTTTTGTTTCTTTCAATAAACTAGTTTATATTCTTACAGAGTTTCCGAGTGTTCAGTTATAATATGACAGTACGGAGCAGATCAGGGTAGCCAAACCCCGGCCCTCCAACTGTGGTGAAACTACAAATCCCATGATGCATCTCTCTCATGTCTGAGAATCTTGCAATGCCTCATGGGATTTGTAGTTCCACCACAGCTGGAGGGCCAGAGTTTGGCTACCCCTGGAGTAGATCATCATAGAACAGGGGTGGGATGTTCCACTGCATGGAACAGGGAGGGGAAGGATAAGCTCCTCTATTTTATTTGCCAGACTTCTAGCGTTGGTGTACATACATTTAATTCCTCTCTTTTTGTGGGACAAAAGTTTACTACCTTGTTGTTCCCCACTATTTTTATTGTTATTATTCTGCCTTGATTTCGGTCGTCCGTTGGTAGTTATACTTACATGTGCCAACGGATTTCCTATATTGACTGGAGTGAGCCCACTATTATTAACTCCTTTTTTACTGTTGTTACCTAGATCATCACCTACAAAATTACAATTGACACAAATATTTTAGCTTTGGGTGACGTAAAGAATAAGCACAGCATTGCGTTACATCATCCACCACGTAACTCCTCGCAGCCGCTTTACTGCATCTACTATGTAACTCCTCATAGTTGCTTTACATCATCCACCACACTACTCCTCGCAGCCGCTTTACTGCATCTATTATGTAACTCCTCATAGCTGCTTTACGTCATCCGCCATACAACTCCTCATAGCTGCTTTACGTCATCCACCATACAACTCCTCATAGCTGCTTTACCTCATCTGCCATACAACTCCTCATAGCTGCTTTACCTCATCCGCCATACAACTCCTCAGAGCTGCTTTTACGTCAATCGCCATACAACTCCTCATAGCTGCTTTACCTCATCCGCCATACAACTCCTCAGAGCTGCTTTACGTCATCCGCCATACAACTCATAGCTGCTTTACGTCATCCGCCATACAACTCCTCATAGCTGCTTTACGTCATCCGCTATGCAACTCCTCATAGCTGCTTTACGTCATCCGCCATACAACTCCTCATAGCTGCTTTACGTCATCCGCCATGCAACTCCTCATAGCTGATTTATGTCATCCGCCATCATTTGATTTACGACCCTAATTGATCTAGATATCGGTTCTCTAAATATGGTTAACCTATATAAGCGAGAAAGTAATAACTTTTTAATTTGTATCCATCTGGGTGAGATGTTGAAACAATCCCAATATATGGAGCTAGAGAGACATCTAGTGGTCTTTGGTTGTAAAAACTTTGATATAAGCTGTGATTTGGTATGGGGGGTTAAACCTGCATTTACCCCCTGAGGACGTCGTTGGTGAAGAAACGCGTAGGGGCGGGCCTACCATACCAAACACGATAGCTTTCGGACCAGCCGAACGTGATTTTATTGTCATTGAATTTTAAAACTTCTTAATAAACTACTTCTGGAACTATTATCCGATGAAGGATTTTTTTTCTTTGCATGACTGTGGGAATACTGTGCACTTTGAAGACTGATGGTAAAGTACGAGACACGAAAGACGCCGCATTAACGTGGCCCATCAGACAAAACGTTTGGGGCTGTTACAGCCAAAAGTTTGCGGTGAGTACGCACTCTGATTGGTGGATGTATTAGCATTAATACAAACCCCAATAAAGCATTATCCTACTACTGAATATTGGAAAGCTCTACTACCCGTCATCGAAGTGGAGTTGATTACCACAGAGACTTTCTTTGTCTATTCACATCAATTTTTGTTCATAATAATTCTTGTTCACATTATCTGTTTGTTCACAATAAGTTCTGTTCACATACACTGAGTGGCCAGGTTATTATGACCACCTGACGTTTGTAGGCAAATTAGCTATAATTTGGCGCTGAAGTTGCTAGAGGGCCAGACCATTATAAATAGGGAAGCAGGTTGTTTACCACGACAGTAGAAGTGATTGTTTTCTGAAGATACGGGGAAACAATGCGATTTAACAGCCTTTGAATGTGGGATGATTGTTGGCGCGGAGCCATGGAGCGAGTATCAGCAAAACAGCAGAATTTGTTAAATGTTCAAGAGCAGCTGTTTGGTAAAGTGTTTAAAGACCGGACTGTCAGCCGAAAATCTGGGTCTGAACGTGCGAATTGTGGCCGTCAGCGACTAGTCAATGTTAGGGCAGAACGGAGAATGGCAAGACTGGTACAAGACAACAGAAGGGCAACAGTGCCGTGTCAGATTCCTCGCATCACCTTTCATCATCTCGCAGAGTCACAAGGCGGCCCAACAAAGTCATCTCGTGGCCCAACGAAGTACTGATGGGGTGGTCATAATAATCTGGCCACTCAGTGTATATGTTATGTCACACAATGATGCACATTAAGGTGTAAGCAAGATTTGCAAAAGTGAAGGATTTTTTTAGATTCACTTATTTTATTGCAACAAAGGCACTTAGGATTGATATTGGTTTAAAAAAAGGTCACAATTTTTAACCCTATATATGGTATTTCACAAGTATAGAGTTTTTATTTCTATAGTAATTGACGGTACTTTACATCCACGGATTGTTTCATTTTTCACAGCTCAAAAACACTTTGGATTTATACACAGATATTTTGTTTCTTATACTAGCGCTGTATACTTAGTTAAAACAATATATTACAAGTGCCTAGCTGTATAATGGTGGGCTTGTCGGCATTTCAGCCACCAATAAGTAAAGTTTCTGTTTTGGGTGGACTTTTCTATAAACTAAGGAGGGGATATGGGAGCTAGAACAAATGTTTCCGTGGAACAAGCATTTAACAGAGACAGTCAGACACATTATCGGGCTGAGTATTTATTATGCTGTAAAATAAAGTCGTCTTTGATTACAATGATTATCAAACCCATAAAAATAATAAAACATTTCATAGTTACAATCAAAACAATAATAAATTAACAAAAAAACAGCCCATCTCATAACATCCCACCCAGAAGTTCTAACAATTCCCCCAGCCTTGTAAACGTGATAATGGAATGTCAGGACCTTTGCACAGTCCATGTCCTATGTATCAAATACCAGCCAATTACAGACTGGTATGCCGAATGCTTGAATCTGGGTCATGTGACCCAATTCCAGCAGCATAACAGGCCACATTTACCTTCACCAGAAATAGTTCAGTGTCAACCCGCAACCGCCAAAGAGATGAGAGCTTCTCTTTCTCTCTCAGCACTTTGCAGTGTGAGGGCCCCAACGGGATGCAATTTGGATGGGCCCTTGCACTACACAGTTACTGGCAAAACATTGACTGTACAACCAGATTTTAAGGTGTGTGCAAAGCGTTAAAAGGAGAAGTATTGGTAGAGTAAAATGTACTCTACGCAACACTTTGAGCCAGTGTGTGATATTGCAGCTGTCACATGCCTGCTCTATAGATCACAAACCAGCCAATGGCTTCTCCCTGCAGAAAGTGGTGACCGTCAGTCATCATTCACTGCTGGGATTCCCCCCTTCCCTCTCTGCTCCTCTAGCGCTCATTGGAAGACAGGAGAGGGATCGGGCAGAGCCAGCTGTCAATCAAGCAGCGGGGTGGATCCCGACAGTATTGTCTGGATCTTTCCTACCTGCAGCACAGTTCTGCGCTGTCAGCGTATAGTAAAATGTACTCCTGGAACTCAAAAGAAAATTAAAAAGGTTTGGCTTTAGGTCTCTTAATATTAAATAGAAAATGATGTCACAATGCGAGACAGAAAAGCCTCATATCATCCTGGTTTCATTTTCATACTAAAAAGCTGGACTCACTATGAAAAAAACAAAAAATAATGGTGGGTGGTGGCAGGAGCTTAACAGAAAAAGGGAAATCAGTTTCAGAAGGGCACACAGGAGGGGTTCCTGGCTAGCCAAAGAGATGACGATCAGGCACCTTGCGGTTCCTCCAAAGACTGGACTTTTACTTAAAGTTTAAAATGCGAATAAGTGATTTGTGAAATAAAATCCTTCCTATGCGGAGCGGCAGGACTATTTCTGCTCAGTTAGAAATACAAGTAATAAAAGTAAAGAGAATAGAACAGGGGTGGGCAACCTCAGCACTCCAGCTGTGGTGAAACTACAAATCACATGAGTCATATCAAGACTTACAGCCACAGGCATGTTGAGATTTGTAGTTTCCCCACAGCTGGAGTGCCGGGGTTCCCTACCGCTGGAACAGAACATAAAATCATCCTAAAATCTCCAATACCACAAACTGGAAATAGGAGCTTGATTTACAGACAATAAAATCTAAAAAAGTAATCATCACAGGACAGACAGCAAAAGACAAAACAGAATTAGCAGCATTGGAGGTCATTGGTCATGTATAGAATTGGGCAGTAGTGAGACAGGAACAATCTCTACCCCTTAAAGGGTTTATGGGGCAAAGAAGCTGTCCGCTGGTCATGTGCGACATTTGGTATTGTCACAGCACTGAACCATCTGCTATGTAAACTTTGTTTTATCTCGTGCCGACACTTCACCTGCAGTTCCAGTTCTGCAGAATCTCAGTGAATGAGCCCCAAACGTGGAGGATAATAAATCGGGGCTGCACTTATCTTCCTGTCTCCATTAGAGTGATAATGTGATCAGCAAACTCCTGAATGGCTCCATAGCCACCTCCATGCTGGCAGACAAAGCTGTCCGTCATCTTGGCCGCCGTGCAAGCGTCAGCGGGAACTCCACCAGTGCCAGCCAGCTTCAGGCACTCCACATCAGAATAACTGCAGCCTGTAGGGTGGAAGACATTGGAAGAATGGCAATAAAGGTCAGTAGGGAGGTTATATCCCTTCATGAGCTGTAGTGTCATGGCATTGGTGAGTTCATAAGAGCATTGTGGGAGGGGCAGAAACAAATTACTGGGGGAAATCTCTCCATTGTGGGAGGGGCAGAAACAAACTACTGGGAGAAATCTCTCCATTGTGGGAGGGGCAGAGACACAAACTACTGCAGGGAAATCTCTCCATTGTGGGAGGGGCAGAGACAGAAACTACTGGGGGGAAATCTCTCCATTGTGGGAGGAGCAGAGACACAAACTACTGCAGGGAAATCTCATCATTGTGGGAGGGGCAGAGACAGAAACTACTGGGGGGAAATCTCTCCATTGTGGGAGGAGCAGAGACATCTCACCATTGTGGGAGGGGCAGAGACAAACTACTGCAGGGAAATCTCACCATTGTGGGAGGGGCAGAGACAGAAACTACTGCAGGGAAATCTCACCATTGTAGGAGGAGCAGAGACACAATCTACTGCAGGGAAATCCCACCATTGTAGGAGGGGCATGTAGCATAGTGGTTAACACTTCTGCCTTGCTCAGTCCTCAGTTAAAATCCCAGTCAGGACACTATCTGCAAGGAGTTTGCATGTTCTCCCTGAGCTTGCATGGGTCTCCTCCCACACTCCAAGACATGCTGGAAGGTTAATTGGCCCTGTATATATGCATGCGAGATAGGGACCTTAGATTGTAAGCTCCATGATGGCAGGGACTGTTGTGAATGTGCGTAAATTGTCAGCGCTATATAAATACCAGTAATAAAATATTGGGAATGGAGGATACTGACCCATATAGGCCACCTGGTTCCAGGAAGAGATACCCAGCTTGTCCATCCATCGCTCCACAACCTCCTTTTTATTGGACACATTTGCCTCGATCAAACATGGCAGATTCAGATTGGACACCAACGCTGGACGGATGTCCCTTTCGGAGGCGAAATGAACCTGAATGGAATTAGAGATGGTTATTACTTCTTGCAGGAGTAGCACAAGTCTGACAGGAGCTTCCAGAACACATCATCTGATATATTTGGATATATGCCGGTCATTATTACTTTAATAGCCAACTGTACTGGAAAACATAGTAAGCTTCCAAATCTGCCTGATGAAGCCTCTGATCAGCTTGTTCTACAAGTGATTCAAAGGGGTTGATTTACTAACCTTTTAAACACACCACGAACGTGTATACACCTCTGTAGTGTGTTCCCTCCCAGCATGATCTATGGGAGGAATCGAAACACCTTTGTAGTGTGTACACACCCAGCAGGTGTGTTGTGCAAAGCCCTGCAATGAATTGCAAGGTAATGTGGTGTAAATTAGCTCTATGTTATGTTGCTTGCGTTGATGAATCCAGGAATGTAAATGCATGAGCTAACCATTTTTGTCTAAACTGTGAAGCAGCATTATATATGCATCATGTGCATGATTTTTCCATATATGGCATTAGTGGAAATATGCTTTTAGAGACTTTTTGGTTGATAAATACGTTTTGCTGTGTGAAAATCACACACACCTGGGGTGTGTGTGTGTTTAGGTTAGTAAATCACCCCCAAAGTCTCACTCCGACTGGCTCATTCTAGGGATGAATTGTACTGTACATCTTAACCGTCATTGGCTCATTCTAGGGTCGAATTGTACTGTATAACACTCTAATTGGCTTGCACCTCCTCTCTCCCCATTTCTGACATACCTGCACATCTTTGTCCAGCAACATTCGTATCCCGTCAACATCTCGCAGACTATAGGAGATCAGCTCATGTTCCTGATTCACATAGACTCGCCCGTCTGTCAGACAGCCATCGATGTTACATACCAACAGCTTCACCACTGTTGGATTCTTGCCAAAATATCCGTACCTGCAAAAAAAAAAAAAACGTCATCAGAACTGCAGAGTCCAGGGCAGGAGTAGATGCAGAATACAGAAATCAGAAGACAGTCATTGTAAACAAGAATTTAGTGGAAAACTATATTGAGCAGTTTTATTTTTTTTCATACTCAGATCTTTGCTTTGCAATTTTATATCAAAGGATCCTGGATTATAGGATGGAGGATTTAGAAGCAGGAAGATTCTTCCTCAGGTACAGCTTCCTCTCCAGCAAGGAGAACAGTAAGCAGCATAGCAATGACTACCAAATCCCACTCCTAATCTAGTGAGACTAGCAGTCAGAGACAGCAGACATGCAGCTAGGAGGATAGAGAACATCAGAGAGCCTAGGCACATATTGTTTAGGGCAGGGGTGCCCACAATTTTTGTGTTAAGATCTACTTTTCAAATGACGAGCTACATGAGATCTACCAACGAAAACAAAACCTCCCTCGCTGTCTCTCTCCTGGTTGTCTCTCCTTGTTCTCTGCCCTGGCTGTCTCTACTCGCTCTCTCATATGGCTGTCTCTCCTCTCTCTCTCTGGCTGTCTCTCCTCTCTCTCTCCTGGCTGTCTCTCCCTCCTGGTTGTCTCTCCTCTCTCTCCTGGCTGTCTCTCCTCTCTCTCATGGCTGTCTCTCCTCTCTCTCCTGGCTCTCTCTCCTCGCACTCGCTCTCTTGGCTGTCTCTCCTCACACTCGCTCCCTTGGCTGTCTCTTCTCACACTCGCTCTCCCGTCTGCCTCTCCTGGCTCACCTTGGTGTATTTTGGAAACAGTGTAGTGCAGCAGGCTATGTAAACTAATATTCTTTGATGTAATACATAGCACTTCAACCACCAGTATCCACCAGAAAGGTGTCAGGGAGCTTGGCTCAGCAGACTCAGGCTAATAGGTAATCATGTGTGCACAGCTAAATAAATATACCAAAATGGAATAGAGGGGCCGCCATTCACACTTAGTGATCTACCAGCATCAGCTTTGAGAGCTACTGGTAGATCACGATCTACCTAATGGGCACCCCTGGTTTAGGGTGATGCTTATGCACAATTCTGTTTCTAGATTTTCCATATAAGAATGCAATTTTTTTTGGAGTTCTGGTAGTTTAAAGTCTGAGCTGTCCATCACTGTGACCTATTTTCCACTTCGCTGGTGGCAAGGGCTGGTCCACGAACAGAAAATATGCAACCTAACTCTACTCTGGCACCAATCTCAGATATAAAATGATTCCTTTACTGCAGACAGATGATAGATTTCACCTTTTGACTCGTTGTTCTGCGATGGGCCAGTCGAGATCAACATCAATATCCACACTGTGCTCCGGCCTCATTTCATAGTAAGCGAGCTTCCCATCCTGAAAATAAGGGAATAAAAGTCACATGGCAATGCTGTCCAATATACAATCATGAGCACTGTATGAGGATGCCCCTCCTTTATTACACAAGATCTACTCCAGCACTTTTCTCTTTCACCCACCAGGGCCGCAGAGAAAACATGGTAAAGTAACAGCTCTACACAGAAGAGGCTCTGACCTGTAGTAATCCCTTAGTGATCAGCTCTCTGGTGGCAAAGTAAAAAGATCCATTCTCATGCAGCTCTCCGTTCCAGTCCTGGCGGCGAGGGCGACGCGCTGGGTTAAAGTTATCTGCCACTGTTGACTCTCCTACAATGCACAATAACATTTATCTGGAAATATACACACATCAAGACCAAGTCCATCAGAACTTGCATGCCAATTTTACATATTTGTCCCTTTGGAAACAAACTGCTGCACATTTTACAATCCTTTCCAGGGCCAGAAAACACAACTCTATTACAGCACTTACAACAAAGAACCCTTCCCTCAACTGCACATTAATGCTAAGGTCAGGGGTAAAGACTGGCGCTATGATGAAAGTACAAACACCTCACCTGCCTTCACCTCCTTCCAGCGGAACAGGTGATGTCTGACCACAGAGAACACCGAGTCGTAGCCCTGGTTCTGTATCATGTCCGCCACCTTGATGAGGTCGCAGGGGTGCAGACATGGAGACGTGGCTTGTATATTCCCAACTAGATCCACCTCTGTGAAAGAAAATCGACATTATAGCCTAATACAGCAATATGCGATTATATAGGAAGAGTATATTCTGCAGAGCTGCCATGCGTAATGGTCAGCAGGCTCTACAAGACAGAACAAGGCCCCAGATAAGCCGGAGGCAGCAATTAATTAAATTATTTTTAAAAGACTTTACCTCGCCCATTCAGGATACAGTGGCAAGTGGTCCTTAAAGTCCTCCCCTGACACCCTTAAACTTAACGTACAAGCACCCAATATCTGCTCCTGCCTCCACTGCAACCAGAGAAAATAGCCAGTGCTTCCAGGTATAGAGGATCATGTGACCCCCCCGTGAGAGGGCTGGAGCCCAAAAGCCAACTACTAGGCCTGAGCACTGTGACATGACTGGTGGAGTAATGTCACAAGGGCCTATTTATGACTAATTTGCAGAGCCAGTCTCCCTACTAATCTTCCTGAAAGCTCACTTTGTGCAAATAGACGCAGAAACAAAAGTTCTTAGATATATTTTATGCATGTAATGTAATTCTGAGTTTGTGCCACTAGATGGAGCTAAGAAATATTTATACAAGTATTTTCTATGCTCCTCCGCGCCACCTACTGGCCATAATGCAGTATTACAATACAGCAAGTCGTCCTGCAAATGGGTTATAACTAGACCCCATAGTTTGGGAGTGTGTTGTGCGATGGATTTAAAGAACAGTTTCTCTCCCATTCCACATAAAAGGGCTTTTTTTTTAACATAATGTTGGGGTTACATTACAATGGCGGTTCAGGTGAAAGCAGAGGCGTGTTCAGTTCCTTAGCCAAGCGCTGAGTAGCTGTTCTGCAGCACTTCAGTTCGCTGCAGCAACTTCACTGAACGCTTCAGCTGCACAGTGCTAAGCAAAATAGCGGAGGATAATATTTTTGACGAATAAATACAATTTTCCAGCGAATATTTGGTGTGCTCGTCCACCAAAACATTAAATTATAGGTTCCCACACTGAATTGATTTCCTCCATCTGGGTTCAGGCACCTTTCTCCAGTGCTGCCAGGTGTGCCACAGTTGAAATGCCCGCTGGTGCTCTGTCCCCACCTTCTCTGTCAAACTCAGCGCTCTGCATCCACATTCACCTCCGCTGCGAGTGCTAAGTTAGCAGTGCTGAGCGCCGACCTGCAGCACAGCGTTCAGCGGCGGTTTGCTAACAGAACTCGCAGCGGCTGAGCAACTGAACACAGCTCAGTACTTCATGGAGCTCTCCTGTACACCTTCGTTGGTGACATGATGCAGAGATAGCGGTCCAGTGTGAAATGATGGCAGTTATGTGACATGGATGACGAACCTGGGTGATGCTGCAGGAACTCCTGTATGGTCTGCAGGGAGCTGGTCGTGTCTTGGGACACCTCAGGGCTCCTCCGGTGGACCTTTGCCCCATACTGCTTGGCGACCTTCTCGATCTCATCAAGGTCTGTGGACACCCACACACTGTAAGAGAAAGAACCAAAACCAGTTATAAGACGGCAGAACTGGGAGGCCACAGCAACCAACGATTAGTCTCATAATTGATTAGATGGCCGATTATTTTTTGATTAATTAAGGTTGCATGGTATTTGCGCAAATGTTTATCAAACAAGTATTTTTAGGATAAAATACACTAAAATGAAACTTGGTGCACAGGAACAGAATATAATACCCAATTTTCGGGTAAAATATGAAAGACGGGGTCCCGCCGGGTAGACACCAAACATGTCAAGTCTTAAAATTGCATGCACCCGTGAAACTGCAAAAAAAAACTACAACACCCACAATTTCCCATAGGTGACGCATTCAAAGCTTTTACTGCTCATCAGTTTAGTGTTCACAGTGATTGACGGCCCTAAAATGTACTGCTCTCACTCTGACGTTCCTGGCAATGTAATGTAACATGTGTGGCACAATTTTGGTTTTTGCATGCAGGCACATCGGACATATTTGCGTTGTATGTACGTGCACGTGGAGGACTTAAAAATTATTATTTTTATACACTCAACTTTATTGCTATCACATAGGTGGCTAACAACCCCCCCTATGTAATAGCAAATGTGATGCAACAGGTTCTCTTTATGGAGACGTCAGGGGCCTTTCAGACCCCTAATGTCACCTAGGGACCCCAAAGAAGCTGAAGCAGAGATCTGATTCACCAGCTTCTTCTGACTCTAAGAGCAGGAGAATGTACTCAGTGACACAGGCAGTGTTGTAATGCACATCACTTCCGTGTCCAATGACCGGAGGAGCCATCAGCAACTGGAAGCTCGTTGATCTCCCTCTGATCTGTCAGGGGAGACCCGCCCGCACGGGGACAGGAGGAGCCAGAGAAAGTCATCAGCGGCAAGGGGGGCGCAAAGCACCGCACAAATGATCCGGCAATCGCCCGCTGTTTAAAACGATACCAAGAACACGGCGGGAAGAAGCCATGTCCTTGGTATAACCACTTCAAGCGGATGATGCGTATTTACGTGAACTCGCCTGAAGTGGTTCATTAGTTTCATGGATTTAAAGTAATCTAAAAGTGAGAAACTTCAAAAATCAACATAAAATAATCGTATAGAGGAGATTTCCTTTTTTTTTAATGGAGCAGAAAGAATCTGGCGCAGCTGCCATGGCAACCAATCAGCTTTGAAAATAAAAGGATCGACACGGATTGGTTACTATGGACAACTGCTCCAGTTTTGATCATTCCCCCACATAGTATATTGCACAGATAGCTCCTCGTTCTCTATGTATGGCAGAGGACGTGTCCTCCCGGGACATGGAGTGTTTTGTATCCAACACACACTGGAAAAGCTATAAGAAGGCAAACCCACATGAGTGGACGGGGCACTCAAACTTCTATGAGCGGATTGGACCTTTCAGTGGGCGGGACATTCCCCCGGCAGCAGATTGGTTCCCTGGGTGGGCGGAGCGCTCTCCGTAGTAACAGATAGGGAAAGCAGGGGGTGTGTCACTGACCTATCAAACTGCCCGCAGTCTATGGCGGCCCGCAGCACCCAGGCGATGAGCGGTTTCCCGGCTAGTCTCCGGATATTCTTCAACGGGATCCCCTTACTTCCTCCTCGGGCCAGGATCACCGCCGCCAGGTGTCCCCGCTTCTTCTTCTTCTTGACCGGCCCGTCCCCAGCTGCCTGCGACGCCATCTTCCCGCTGTTCCGGGCCGCGTCACAGCTAGTGAGGGCTCTTTATTGGAGGGGGCGGGGCCTAGCTTGCCACATCACCTCAGAGGGAGTCAGCAAAGAGGCGGGGCCTGAGTGTAAATGAGTGCTTAACCCTTTCCCTGCTGGACAAGTTTTTCCCCCCATTGCCTGCATAGCATGTAATAAACAATTAATATTTGCAAAACATCCAAAAAATGATATGAGCCGATGAGCTAAGGATTTAAAGATGGACAATGTTTAGGAAATCTGTATTTTAAGAATATTATTATTATTATACAGGATTTATATAGCACCAATAGTTTGCGCAGCGCTTTACAATATAAGGAAGACATTACAGTCACAATACAATTAAAGACAAGATAGTAATTTAGGATGTATATATATATATATATAGAATTTGTATTTCTGTCCATCCAGTTCTGAAAATACACAACTCTGCCCCACAGTAAAGCAGGAATAACAAAACACTTTCAAATATATATTTCAAGCTGAACGCTGGGTATAAAGTATTATGCATACTTAAAGTTGGTTATTGTCCTCTGTCCAATTAGTCTCCAGCCATCACACGGTCAACCAGTGTTAATGATCAGCCCACCCCTCGTATCTGTCATAAGACCTCCTGCCTGCCCAGAAGGCAAATAATAGATTAAACGCAGAAATAAAAATGGAATATGTTGCAGGTTCCCGGCCCGAAGATGTATTGTCTGTATTAGTGACAACAATGCTCCTAAATGGATACAGTATAGTGAGTCAGCGTTGTCACCTCTTGTCTGAGGTCTATATTGCAGATGTTAAGGAAGGCATGGGGGAGGGGGCTCTATTTCAGGGGGTTTGATAGCATTGGCCACAAATCTGTAGACCCCTGACCATCACACCTATATGAGCTTGTTGGACATCCCTTTCCCAAACCAGGGCAATTATCATGTAGTTCCCCCCTTTGTGGCTATACCCTCCTCCATTCTGGGAAGGCTTTCCACAAGATTTTGGTGTCTGTGGGAATTTGTGCCCATTTCTGAGGTCACATACTGATGTTGGATTAGAAAACCTAAATCGCAATTGGCTTTCTAATTCATCTTAAAGGAGAACTATGGGGTTAGGGCTTTTCCCCATGGTTCTCCTTAGGGTAACGGGAGGACATAAACCAGCGTCCTCCCATCACCCTAGGCTCAGTATACCGCGAGCTGTAGCTCACGGTATACTGAGACGCCGCAGCTGAAGCAGATCCCGACAATTATGTCTGGATCTGCCCAGCTGCGTGATTGACAGCTGGCTCTGCCTATCTAGAGGCAGAGCCAGTTGTACCCTCCCCCGTCCGATCCGCCAGTCAGCGCTGGAGGATCGGAGCTGGGAGGGGGGAATCCAGCCCCTCCACTGTCACGGCAGAGAGCCGTGACAGGATCGAGAAGTGAGTGAACACCGGCATGTGTCTCGATCTACTGAGCCAACCTGTGACAGTCTCATTGTCACAGGTCGGCTAGAACTAAGAGGTGAGTGAAAAGCACTCACCTCATAGTTCTCTTTTAAAGGAAGGTGTTCAGTTGAGGTCAGGGCTCTGTGCAAGACACTCAAGTTCCTCCACGCCAAACTATTGCTCCACCTTTACATGTACATTGTATGGCCAAGGATTTGTGGACCCCTGACCTTCACACAGTTATGAACTTGTTGGACTTCTCATTCCAGAACCATGGCCATTAAAAGGAGTTGCCCTTTTTGAGACTACAACATCCAAGGTTTTCCACAAGATTTTGGATTGGCTGTAGAAATTTGTTCTATTTGTGAGGTCAGGTACCGACGACAGATGAGAACTCACCATTGGCCGTTCCAGTTTATGCCAAAGATGTTCAGTAGTGTTGAGGTCAGGACTCTGTGCAGGACATGCAAGCTGCTCCACACCAGACTATTGCTCCACTTTTACATGCACATCATATGGCCAAAAGCTTGTGGACACCTGACCATCTATATGAGCTTGTTGGACTTCCCATTCCCCAACCATGACCATTAATATGGAGTTGCATCCCCCCCCCCCCCCCCCCCACACACATTATAAATTTTCTGAACGTCAATACCCTGTAGAATAAAATGTTGACAGGTTAAGATTTTTATGTTGCACGATATTAGCGCAGCATATTATCAAACCCCAAAATATAGTGAAAAATGCCCTTAAATGCCCCAAAGCACAATTAAATACCCATTGTTTTT